AAGAAAAATTAGCTGGATGTGGTGGCGCGTGCCTGTAGTCCCAGCTACTCAGGAGGCTGAGGCAGGAGGATCACTGGAGCCCAGCAGTTTGAGTTGCTGTGAGCTAGGCTGACGCCACTGCCTTGGTGCCTGGGCAACAGAGCGAGACCTTGTCTCAAAAAAAAAAAAAAAAAAGAAAAGAAGGAATAGTATTATCCATATTTTGGGGGGAAAATAGGGACAGAAATCAGGCTGAAGGATATACTCCAAAAATGTTAGCAGTAATTACCTATCTGGATTAATACATAATTTCTGTTTTCTGTATTTTGCAAATTTTCAACAAGCAGTATGTGTTAATTTCATAAGAAAACCTTAAATAAATTTTATCTGTAGTATTTTGGAAAAGGAGTACTTGGTGTCCAGCTTTCTGATAGTGGAATAGTAGTCGGTCTTCACCTTCCCTGACCTTGGGGCAGTGGAATCCATTTTTATGACAGTTACAACTTGGGAACGTAGCTCATGGCCACAAAAGTAGGAGACATATTCAAGAAGAGTTTATTCTCATGTTTTATATTTTTATTTTATTTTACTGTTCTGAGGAGAATTATGGGACAGTAAATTGTCCTTTCTTGGTCTGTTTTATTTTGGTTACAGACTAGAAGCTGCCAAAGATGATTATCGAATACGCTGTGAAGAGTTAGAAAAGGAAATCTCCGAACTTCGGCAACAGAATGATGAACTAACCGCCTTGGCCGATGAAGCTCAGTCTCTAAAAGACGAGATAGACGTGCTCAGGTAAACTCACTCTCACCTCCGCCATCGCCGCCAGAGCAGTCCGAGCTCCGAGGTCACAAATCCACACAGGCCCACGTGCGTTCCGATCACAGGGCTACCATTTATTGGCCCCCGGGCAACCGTGTTCTCATGTGCAAAATGGAAATACCGCACGTGCCTACCTCAGCTGTGAGGCAGTGAGCGAGCTTCCGTTCGTGACGCCGGGACGGTGTGCGGCTGCGCAGTGTTCAGCGGGCGTCTGGCCTCGCCTCGCGCCTGCGCAGCTCCGGAGAGTCGCTTCTTCCGACTGCGGTCCGCGAGCGCCGGGCCCTCCAGCCACGGGCCTGCCCTTTCTCGGGCACTGTCACTCCCGCGCGGCCTCGTCTTCCCGCTGCACCTTTTTCTCGTCCCTTCGATTTCTCTCTGACGGGGCACCTCACTCCCTGCCACCTCGTTTTTCCACCGCTGCTTCTTAGACAGTCTCCTGCCCTCTGTGGGGTCATTTCAGCCAGCCCTGTTGTCCACCTTGCTCTCTGAGTGCTGAGAAGAACAGGGACAATCACGTGGCGGTGAGTTTTGTCCCACTGCAAGCCAGCGATCCTCTTCCGGGTTCTCCCCACTGGCCCAGCCCCTGCTCGGCCGGAGGCGGCGCCGCCGCGTCTCCCACAGCTGCCAGGGCTTCCAGGAGCTTCTCCCCGCCGCCCCGCAGCAGACGGCCCGTCTCCAGCTGCTCGGACCAAGGAGGCTGTGAGCACCGAGACCCCGGTCCTCCCCGCGTTCCTAGTCGTCTTTTCTCGTTTGACCGAGAGTGTAGACCTGTTATTCCTCCTCCCGCCCAGCCGTCCAGGGCTAAGCCCTTGGTCAGAGTTCTGGGTCTCGGCACTTCTTGCCTGTGCAGGGACTGTCGCGTCGGTCTCATTTCTCTTTGCCTTTCGAATCTCTCTCCTTTGTACGCACGGGCGCCTGCGCACACACGTCCAGGTCTCTTTAATCTCAGAAAGAAGAGAGGGATTTAGTATTCTCTCTTTCCCTCCAGAACCAAATTTAGATTACGTAGGTAAAGTTTATGTTCTCTCCTCAATCCCACTGCCTACCCCACCCCCACTGCTCCACTGAAACCGCCGTTCCTGTGGTCACCGATAATGGCCAGGTCACGGGGACACTGCACAGCTTATCTTACTGTCGTCCTGTGTGTGACTCTGCCGGCTACCCCTCCTGTTTGCTTTCCTTCAGTTATGTGACGTTCTCTGTTACACATTTTGCTGTAATTCTGGTCAATTTTTTAACCTGGGCAAAAAATTAACCTGGGTTTACTTTTGGTTTTATAATTTCATTAGAATATGTATTTCCTGGCAATCCCTCTTGGTTTGGCACTGTCTAAAAAGCTTTGCAACTATGGATATGTTTCTGATTTTTAATTTCCTGTCTCATTCTAGACATTCTTCTGATAAAGTGTCTAAACTGGAAGGTCAAGTGGAATCTTACAAAAAGAAGCTAGAAGACCTTGGTGATTTGAGGCGGCAGGTTAAACTCTTAGAAGAGAAGAATACTATGTACATGCAGAACACTGTCAGTCTGGAGGAAGAGTTAAGAAAGGCCAATGCAGCTCGAAGCCAACTTGAGACCTATAAGAGACAGGTAAAAGAGTAGGAACAAGTTTCTTAATGATGAGTTCAAGCAATCCTTCCACTAAAACACGTGGCTTATCAAAAATCGACTGGCTTGTTTTACGGTACTCTGTTTTTACCTTTTCTTTATTGTATTTGTATTTATCTTATTTTTTAAAAAGTTTAAACTTAGTTCTTATTCAGAAGTTATTGGTCTCTGTAGCAGATGCTTTTATTTATTAGTTTATTATGTAATACTTAAATACACAAAAGTAAAAAAATAATACAGGAAATATCCATGCTTAAAAAATAAAACATACTCTCCCCTCCTCATTACAGGCGACCTCTGTGCTGTTTTGTGCTTTTCATTCCCATGAATCTCTATACTTTCACTATGTATATATAGCGTGAAAATTTAGAGCATTTTGACATGTTCCAGAACTTTATATGAATGATACAGTGAAAATAATCTTCTGTAATTTACTTTTGGTGCTGAGTGGTATATAGTTGTGAGATTCATTTATGTCGATAGGTATAGCTTTATACCATTCATTTTCACTACTATGTAGTATCCCATCATGACTGTACCAAAATTTATCCATTTTCCTATTGAAAGAAATAGCGTGTTTCAGCTTTTTTTATATATTAAATACATAAGGCTGTAAGTATTGGACAGGTCCTCTTTCATACATGTGTGAAGGTTTTACATCTTCATGGAATTTCTTAGAGTATCTTCAGTGCAGTCTGATATCACCAGGTCGTTCTCAGTGACCGCATTACCAGCAGGCTGTTTGTGTGAATTCCTGGTGCTCCACATCATCACCAACTCTTAGTGTTGTCAAACTTTAAATTTTGCCAATTTGATGGGTAAAAAATGGTGTCTCCTTATATTTTGCATTACCCTGTTTATAAATGTGTTTACTGACCTTATTTCTTTTGTGAATTGCCTATTTTTAATCTTTCATTCATTTTTAAAACTAAATTGTTTCTTGTTGACCTCTAAAAGTTCATTTTGTGTTCTAGATATTAATTTTTCATCACTTGAGCATTTTCCTTTTTATCTCCTATGACCTACCTGTCCTTTTACCTTTTTTGCAGTTGATAATTTTAATATAATGAACTTTAAGTATCTTTTTCTTTATGATTTGTGCTTTTTATGTTTGTTTAAGAAATTATTTTCTAGTAAGGATATAAGTCTAATCTCCTCTATTTTCTTTTTTTTTTTTTCTCTTTTTTTTGAGACAGAGTCTCACTCTGTTGCCAGGGCTAGAGTGCCGTGGCGTCAGCCTAGCTTACAGCAACCTCAAACTTGTGGGCTCAAGCGATCCTCCTGCCTCAGCCTCCCGAGTAGCTGAGACTACAGGTGTGAGCCCCTACACCCGGCTAATTTTTTGTTTCTATTTTTAGTTGCTGGGCTAATTTTTTCTATTTTTTTTTTAGTAGAGATGGGGCCTCACTCTTGATCAGGGTGGTCTCAAACTCCCAAGCTCAAGTGATCCTCCCACCTTGGCCTCCCAGAGTGCTAGGATTACGGGCGTGAGCCTCCATGCCCGGCCAAATCTCTTCTATTTTCTTTACAAAGATTTAAAGTTTGTTTTGCACAATTAGGTCTTTAAATCAACTGGAGTTGACTTTTGTGTAGGGTGTGAGGTAGGGACCCATTTGATACTGTTTTTGTCTGTGTGGATAACCAGTCAACCTAGCACCATTTACTTAGTAGTTCATTCTTTCACAGTGACCTGCAATTCTACCTTACATTTCTGGGCATTCTCTTCTGTTCCATTGGCCTCCTTGTCTTGTTCGTACAATACCACACTCTCTTATTTTTATAGTTTTTTAGTAATTTTGATATATGTTAGTGTAGACCCTAATACCTTGTTCTTTTTCAGAATTGTCTATTCTTGACCCTTTGCTTTCCCTTTAAACCCCAAACCTTTTGGAATTAGAATTACCTTGAATCTGTTGATCGGTTTGGGGAGAGTTGTTCCTATCTGTGAAGGTGATATCTTTTTATTTATTTAGGTTTTCCGTGTCTTTTAGTTAAGTTCGATAATGTTCTTCTAAAGCTCATGTGCATATTTAATCATATTTATTCTTAGGTACTTTATGTTTTGGTTGTTTTTTTTTTTTTTTTTTGTTAATGCAGTTAAAGATATCATTTTTAGTTTATTATAGGTTGATCCTGTAACCTTGGCAAATTCTCACGTTGCTTCTGATAATGTCTGTAGATTCTTTTGTCAGAAGTGATATAGTAAACAAATAAAAGCAATTTTGTTTCTTTCTTTCTACTCCATACTCTTTTTTTCTTCTTAATCAGCATACATGGCCTTTAATACAATTTTAAGTGGAAACAATAATAGTGGGAAACCATTTTTTTGTTGTTCATTATGTACAGAGTGTTTTAAATGTTCTACCAATATATTATAAGGATCACTGTAGGTTTTCAAAGCCACCTTTTATTAGGATGAAGAAATTCCATTGTATTCCTAATTTGCTCAGACTTTCTATCCCAAATAGATGTTGGATTTAATCAACTACTTTTCCTGCATCTAATGAGAGAGGCTTATGCTTCTTCTCCTTTCTATTTGATGTGGTGAATTATATTAAAGGATTTAAGCTCAAACCATCCTTGCATTCTTGAGAGAAACTTAGTTTGGTCATGGTGGATTTATTTATTGTTTTCATGTTGTTAAATTTGCTTTTATCATTTTAATTAGAATATTTTCCCTCTATGAGTCACTTGAAATTTTCTCTCTCATACCTTCTTTACTGGTTTTCCTTATCTAGTTTTGGTATTGAACTTATACTATCTTAAAAAAATGAATTGGAGAGTGGCCTCTTTCTTATCATTCTCAGAATTTGTATAAACTGGAATTTTCTATTCCTTGAAGTTTTTATTGATTGATTGAGACAGAGTCTCACTCTATTGACCAGGGTAGAGTACAATGGCATCATCATAGCTCACTGTGGCCTCCAACTCCTGGGCTCAAGCAATCCTCCTGCTTCAGCCTCCCAAGTAGCTGGGAATACAGGCACACACCACCACGCCCAGCTAATATTCCTTGAAGTTTTAGTAGAACAGCCCTGTATACCATGAATGGCTATAGATTTGGGGGGTTTTTTTGGTGGATACATCTTTTCCCAACACTTTATTCTGAAATTTTCAAACGTACAACAAAGTTGAAAGAATTAACGAACTTGAATATGGACTGAGAAATTACTCAGAAATATATATCCCAAAGGAACTATAAATAATATTAAAAGATATGAAGTATAAAATGATACATAATCTATCTAGAGTTCCAGGGGAGAGAACGGAAAGTACTGGAGAAAGACATTATTTGAAGGAAAAGATGGCTGAACACTTTTCAGAACTGATGAAGGATATCAGAATTTGAACGATATTTATACCTACAAATATCATAGTGAAACTATATAATACACTAATTCCTTCTACCTGTCTCTGATCTGTTGCTTAATGCACTTTGTTTTTTGATGATAGTATTTTTCTTTTTACAAGTTCTCTTTGCGTGCTTTTTCAAACCTCCCTGATCATTTTTTGTGGTCTTTTACTCTATGTTATAATTTAGATTTCTTCTTTATTTTTTTAAGCATTACACCTAGCATATATATTTTTTTATATAATTCTAATCTGAAATCCTCGAAGATCTATTTTGTTGTTGTTATTGCTGTTAATGTTTTCCGCTGACTCTTGTTCATTGTGGCATAGCTTTTTGGCCTTTGTAATTTTGGATTTTGTTCTCTTATTGCCTCATCTTTATCTTTGGAAATCCTAGGGTCATGGGTTGAGGTTTGCCTCTCCAGACAATTTGTTTATACATTTTTAAACCCAAAGCACTCAGTTTACTTTTCCACCTGTTGACTGACTTACCACCTTTAAATCCTGAGATGGTTTAACCACCACCTATCTCTTGTTAAACTCAAAGCTCTGTGTTCGTGGTATTGGCAGTCGGCACCTTGCTGTTCCCAGAGCTTCTGCATGAACTTCCCTTTCCTGCTTTAGCCTCCGAGAGTTTCCCTCACTTCCTTGCAAGCTTAGCTATGCAATTGGATTTCCCCTCCTCCCTAGCATTTCTTTTGTTTTATACAAAAAAGGGTTTCAGACTACCCAGTTATCTGTATTGCTGGAAATGAAAGTCCTAAAGATTCTTTTGTCATTTTGAACATTGTTACTCTGGATGATTCTGGTTTGGAAATACACAGTATCTGGGCAGATTTTTGTTTTCTCCATTGTGTTAGGTTGCTGGATCATATATTTTTGTTGTTGTTGGGTTTTTTTTGTTGCTTTCTGGGTTTTTTTTTTTTTTTTGAGACAGAGTCTCCTTCTGTCACCTGGGCTACAGAGCAGTGATGTCATCATAGCTCACTGCAACCTCAAACTCCTGGGCTCAATCAAGCAATCCTCCTGCCTCAGCCTCCGGAGTAGCTGGGACTACAGATGTGCTACCACACCCAGCTAATTTTTCTATTTTTGTAGAGACAGGGTCTTGCTCTTGCTCAGGCTGGTCTCAAACTCCTGAGCTGAAGTGATCTTCCCACCTCAGCCTCTTAGAGTTCTAGGATTACAGGTGTGAGCCACTGCGCCTGGCTCATATGCATTTATTTGAGTATTTCTGGGAGGGGATTTTCATGGAACTATAGAAGAAAATCATGATAATTTCTGATGTTTCAAATTATGAAAAGTAATGGTATCTTTCTGTATCAGGTAGTAGAACTGCAAAATAGATTATCTGAAGAATCAAAGAAAGCAGATAAATTAGATTTTGAATATAAGCGGCTAAAAGAAAAAGTTGACAGTCTTCAAAAAGAAAAGGATGTGAGTATATGTATTAGGCATTTTGGTTTTGAGCACTGCTAAAATTAAGGCGATGATATTCACATTTTTACTACATTAATCCCTTCTGTTTATGAACTGAAAAATTAGAGATTCTATTTATTTTTAAATTATAAAAGATTGTCATTCGTGTTTCAGAAATAAATCTAAAATAAAAGATAAAAGGAATATTTTCACTTCCATTCTAATTTCTCTTATATGTATATTTATCATTTCTACCACTGTTTCCTCTTTTACTTTGTTCTGCTCATGACTTCTGTAGCTTTTCTGTTTTCTGTATGTTTAATATAGAGGACTCTGTTCACCATATTACAAATCTTTTAAAAATATTTTTACTTTGTCATTATTTAATGTCTTTGATCTTTTATGTTTAATGAAAAGAATGTTAAGAAATTACTTATTATTAAGGATCAAGTCAGACAGTTCTGATTCTTATGTTTAACTGTGGATAGCATATTGCCTTACACATAGTAGACATTCAGTATTGCTAAATGGAAAAAATTGTTTTAATTTTTTCTATGTTCTTTCCATAAAAGGTCAAAAGGTCAAACATGTTCATGTTCACTATTGCTTATCATTCTGTTAGGTGAGGTAAAGACCACTGATGAATAAATTCATAAAACTTGAAGCTAACCTTCCTTGTTTTTATGTCCCTTAAGAGGTTAAGAACAGAAAGGGATTCTCTGAAGGAAACCATTGAAGAGCTTCGTTGTGTACAGGCTCAAGAAGGGCAGCTCACAACTCAAGGTAAAAACATTTTGGTAGCCCAAACAAGATGATTTATTTCTAATGGTATCAGTAAAAATAATAGGTTCACTCCCAACAGATGAAAATAAAAACTTGCTGGCGAGGCAATAAAACTGATATAAATTTTTAAACTGTTGCCCCGATTTTATGGCAAATAGGCTGTAGTTATGGGACTGGATTTACTTGCCTACTTTTAAAAAAAATTTTTAAGCATTCGCATTTGATTAGGTCAAAAGCATAAGCATTTATGAAATCATCTCTGTTAACCTGAAAGTTTGTCCATGACGCCTTTAAAATTATATCAAACCTTCTAAATCAGTGATTTTTTTCACCTGAGGAAATGGGTGAGTCCATTAAGAGACGTCTATCCCAGTAGAAAACTGCTCTTTCTCGCACGAAAGGAGCCATGCCCTGCGCAGGGTTCCTCCCACCCGCTCTGGGGGCAGCGGACTGATGGCTTGCACAGCTTCACGGTTCTTCCCTCCCACACCGATAACCAGCCCTCGGCTTTATCGTTACCTGGAACCGGAAGTTTTTTTCCTCTGACTACAGCCTCCTTTTTTCCCCCTCCTCATTCCTTCTGACAAACATGCTCACCTGCTTCATTTTGCCTCCTGACCCCTTCTCTGCTGCCTCTTGTCGACCGGCTCTCTCCTGGCCTCGTCCTCCAGTCGGTCCAGCCTCCAGATCACCCATTTTCACTTCATTCTCACCACTCCTCTCCTCCTCCATCCTCTTGACCTGTTCCTAGACCAAGCTCGTCAAACCCTGATTCAGATATCCTAAAGTTGTTTTCTCTTTTCCAAATGACCAAGGCCAGCTAAAAAAAATCATGTATCTTTCTTGTTTTCACCAAAAGTATATAGTTTCTAATTATAACTGGATCCTCATTGCTGCCTGGCAGTTCTTTCATGTGTCTCTAATCATGTCCACATGAGTTTTTACAAAATTTTAAGAATCTCACCTGAACCTTAACCCTTTTACTCTCAGCTTCTGTATCATCAAGAAAAGATAGGACATCTCATGTAAACTCAGATTTATTTCTTTGCTACCCATAAACCTATATGTTTAACTTTCTGCTATGGTTTGAATGGTCTCTCTGAAACTCATGTTGTTTTTGGTTTTGTTTTTGTTTTGAAACAGGGTCTCACTATGTGCCCAGGTGGTCTCAACCTCCTGGGCTCAGGGGGGATCCTCCCACCTCAGCCTCCCCAGGGGCTGGGATTTCAGGTGGGCACCACTATGCCTGGCTCTGAAATTTGTTGTGGAAACTTAATCCCAGTGTGGCAATATTGAGAGGTGGGGCCTTTAAGAGGTGACCGGATCATGAGGGCTCTGCCCTCATGAATGGATTGATCCACTCATGGATTCATGGGTTAATGGGTTACCCTGGGAGTGGGCCTGGTGGCTTTATAAGAAAAGGAAGAGAGACCTGAGCTAGCACGCTCAGCCCCCTTTTACCCTGTACTACCTTGGGACTCTGCAGAGAGTTCCCATCAGCAAGCAGACTCTCACCACGTGTCCCCTCAACCTTGGACTTCCCGGGCTTCAGAACTGTAAGAAATTACTCAGTTTCAGGTATTCTGTTATAAGCGGCAGAAAATGAACCTTCTTTATGTATATATCCTTTCACCTAGCAATTTTGCTCTAGAAATTTACCCTAATGAATTAAAGCATTGTTTCTAATAGTGAAATTTAGAAATAGAGTTCAGCAGTATGGAAATGGCATTGTTATTCAACTGTATACCACAGAGCCTTTAAAGAGAATGAGGTGTATCTTGTACATGCCTGACATGGAGTGATATGTGTTATACCATTACACTAAAAAAGTAGGCAACACCATACTTGAAAAACTCTCTCAGCAAACTAGGAATAGAAGGAAACTTCCTTAACCTGGTAAAGAGTATCTATGAAAAACCTCGGCTGACCTCATCCTTAATGATGAAATACTGTCTGCTTTTCCCCTAAGATCAGAAACAAGGCAAGGATGTTCACTCTTGCCTCATCTATTCAGCATGGTATCAGAGATTCTAGCCTGTGCAATCAGGAAAGAAAAAGAAAGAAAAAGCATCCAAGATTAGAAGGGAGAATATAGTAAATCACAGATCTAATAAATGAGTTCAGCAAAGTCTTAAGAGACAAGATCAGTATACAGATGCCAATTATATTTCTTACACTACCAGTGAACAGTCTGAAAATGAAATCGTAATACTATCAAAAAGAATAAAATGTTTAGGAATAAGTTTAACAAAGAAATATAAGACATACACTGCAAACTATAAAACATTGCTGGGAAGAATTACAATAAGATCTAAACAAATGAAGAAACATTCCATATTCAGGTTATTGGAAGATTCAATACAGTTAAGATTACACAGTTCTCCTTGTTGGTCTAAAGATTCAATGTAATCCCAATCAAAATCTCAATAAACGTTTTTGAAGAAATTGACAAACTGATCCTGAAATTTGTGTGAAAATGCAAAGGAGCCAAAATAACCCAAAAATCTTGGAAAAAGAAATTGGAGAACTTACATATTCTGATTTCAAAATTTATTATAAATCTTCTTTAATCAGTGTAGCGTGGGATTTGCTAAGTGCAGACATAGAGATCAGTGTAGTGACGTGCCACACGGCCATCTCAGTTGATGCAGAAAGGCATTGGTAACATCTGACACCCATTCATGATTTTAAAGATTCAATTAACCAGAAAGAGAAGAATACTTCCTCAACATAATAAAAACCATATTTGAAAGCCCACAGCTGACATCATACTCAATGATGAAAGACTGAAAGCTTTTCCTCTAAATCAGGAGTAAGACGAAGATACCCACTCTCACCACTTCAATTTTTGTATTTAAATTTTGTTTTCTCTTTGGAGACAGGGTCTTGCTCTGTCACCCAGGCTGGAGTGCAGTAGCCTGATCATAGCTCACTGTAATCTTGAATTCCTGGGCTCAAGAGATCCTCCTGGCTCAGCCTCCCAAGTAGCTGGGACAATAAGCACACGCCACCACATCTAGCTAAGTTTTTAGTTTTTGTAGAGACAGGGTCTCACTATGTTGCCGAGGCTCGTCTCAAACTCCTGGCCTCAAGTGATACTCTCACCTTGGCCCCCCAAAGTGTTGAGATTGCAAATGTGAGCCACTTCACCTGGCCCACCATCACCACTTCTGTTCAACATAGGTACTGGAAGATCTAGCCAGAGCAATCAGACCCCCCAAAAAAAAAAAGAAGAAAAAGAGAAAAGAAGAAAGGGATTGCATATTTTGCTTGTCCACATGCAAAAGAATGAAGTTGGGTCCTTAGTTTACACCATATATAAAAATTAACCCACAATGGGTCAAAGACCTAAATGTAAGAGCTAAAACTATGAAACTTTTAGAAGAAAACATAAAATAAAATCTTTATGACATTGGATTTGGCAGCGATTTCCTGGAATTGATACCAAAAGCATAGGCAACAACAAAGAAAAATAGATAAATTGAACTTTATCAAAATTAAAAACTTTTGTGCATCAAAGGACACTATCAGAGTGAAGATGATCCACAAAATGGGAGAAAATATTTGCAGATAATAACTCTGATAAGGGATTAATATCCAGAATGCATAAAGAGTTTCTACAACTCAACAACAACAGCAAAAAACAAAACAAACCCACACCACCACCCAATTCACACTTGGGCTAAGTACCTAAATAGACATTTCTCCAAAGAAGATATACAGGTGGCCAATAAGCACATGAAAAAGTGCTCAACATCATTAGTCATTAAAAAATGAAAATCAAGCCTGAACAAGAGTGAGACCCCGTCTCTGCTAAAAATAGAAAAATTAGCTGGGTGTGCTGGCGCGTGCCTGTAGTCCCAGCTACTCGGAAGGCTGAGGCAGGAGGATCACTTTAGCCCGGGGGTTTGAGGTTGCTGTGAGCTGTGATGACGCCACTGCACTCCAGCCTGGGTGACAGAGAGAGACTCTGTCTCAGAAAAAAAAAAAAATGAAAATCAAAAGTACAATGAGATACCACTTCACACCAATTAGGATAGCTATTACAAAAAAAAAAGAAAGAAAATAAGTATTAAGTGTTGGTGAGAATGTGGAGAAATTGGAACCCTTGTGCATTGCTGATGGGAATGTAAAGTGGGGCAGCCACTGTGGAAAAGAGTTTGATGGCTCTTCAAAAAGTTAAACAGAATTACCATGTGATCCAGCAATTTTGTTCCTAAGTCTATACCCAAAAGAATTGAAAGCAGAGACTCAGCCAGGTACTTGTCCACAACTGTTCATAACATCCATATTACAACAGGCAACAGATGGAAACAACCCAAGTGTCCATCAACAGATAAATGGATAAACAAAATACAGTACATACATGCGATGGATTATTATTTAGCCATGGAAAAGAATGAAGTTCTGATAAATGCTGCAATATGGATGAATCTTTAAAACATCATGTTAAGTGAAGTAAGCCAGACACAAATAACAAATATATGAAGTATCTAGAATGGGCAAATCATTGAGACAGACAGAAAGTGGAATAATGGTTAATGAGGGCCAGGGAGAGGCGAAAAGGGAATTGCTACTTCATGGTTACAGTATTTCTGATTTGGATGATAAAAATGTTTTGAAAATAGATGGTGGTGATGGTCACACAACATTGTGAATGTACTTAATGCTACTCTTAATGCTATACTTAAAAATAATTAAAATGGTAAAATAATATAGGTAATAATATTATAAGACTACTGTGACATGGTCTTTTACTTGAGAAAAGCAAAGATTTTAGCTGTTAAAATTAATACTCAAAGCCTGGCATGGTGGTTCACGCCTGTAATCCTAGCACTCTGGGAGGCCGAGGCGGGAGGATCGTTTGAGCTCAGGAGTTCGAGACCAGCCTGAGCAAGAGCAAGACCCTGTCTCCACTAAAAATAGAAATTGGCTGGACAACTAAAAATTTATAGAAAAAATTAGCCGGGCATGGTGGTGTGTGCCTGTAGTCCCAGCTACTCGGGAGGCTGAGGCAGGAGGATCGCTTGAGCCCAAGAGTCTGAGGTTGCTGTGAGCTAGGCTGACGCCATGGCACTCCAGCCCGAGCAACAGAGCGAGACTCTGTCTCAAAAAAAAAAAAAAATTAATACTCAAAGTGGGATTAGTATAACTTAACTAAAGGAAGTAATTGTGCTTTCTATTAACCTTGTATTCATGTTTATGTATTTATAGGGTTAATACCTCTGGGAAGTCAGGAGTCTTCAGACAGTCTGGCAGCAGAGATTACTACACCTGAAATCAGGTAAGGAGATTGTGATGTTCATAATCACACTGCACAGTAGTCCCAGAAAACACTTACTCCCCTGCGACATTAAGAGGATTAGTTCCTTATTCTCTGTTACTCACACTTTCAACATGAACTCAACGTTGAATTTTCATGTTCAGCTTGTTAGCAGCTTTCTTCAATTGGCCCAGGAGAGAATTGATTTTCTTGCTTCAACAGGCCAATCTTTCACACATACAGAGCAAACTAATGCATCCTGAGCTTGAATATCCTTAGCAGACGTTTAGCGGTGAAAAAACACTTGGCCCATAGACAATGGCTATGCTTTTAGCTACCAGCCTGAAAAATTGTTACTGAGATGTATCTACTAACCCCATAAAATGGCCTGGGAAAGATAGAAAGTTCTAGATAGGAGGAAATCTCTCCCCATCTCTACTATGCTTCCCTCAATAATACCTCATATTTTTATTTAGTCATCAGATTTTAAAAATTCCATTTATTTCAATACATACCTAGCTTTATGTGTAAGAATTAAAAATAGCAGGGGGCGGCACCAGGTGTCCAGTGGAAGGAGAGGGACCAGCCCTGAGTATTGCTGTTTCCTTTTCTGGGCTATTTGCCCCTTTTGAAAATGGACACTGGCCTTGATTCTTTACAACATCCTTGGGGTATTAAATGAAATAATGGTGGTGTAAGAGTTGTATTTATCAACTATAAAAGTTGAAATAAGCTTTAAAATACTGTTGAATAAATGAAGACAATTTACTGTTGTTTGTAATGCAGCTCCAAGTCTGGGAGCATCTTGTGTATCTATTACTTTTCTGCCATCTGATATACTACTATATAATTGAACTAGTAAAATTAGTTGAATGAATACTTATAATGAATGAATGAATATTTATAAATACATGGTTATGTCCAAAAAAGCCATAATTTTTAAGGAAGCTTATTGGTGATGCAGTTGGCTTTCTAGACTAAGAACAAGCATAAAGATTCAACAAATATGGCTTTTCTGAGTATGTCTAGGTACAAATTAAAATATGCTCTATGCCCAGAATAGTTATCAAGAAAATGAAATGATAAACGGGGATGAAAATTTTGCAACATATGTTGTAGACGGTGGCTTAATATTTGATACTTTTCATTAATGTTAAGGGTATAGAGAAATTGGAAATCTCATCAACTAGGGGTTGAAGATTAAAGTTGTACAGCTTTTCTTTTGAGCAGAGTTTGTTGTCTAAAACTGCACCTATCTCTTGACCCCAAAATTACTTTTTTCGGGAATTAATCCTAGGGAAATAACCAGGGCTGCACGAAAAGGTATATTTACCAAGCTGATCATTATTAATTTGTTAAGACTCAAAATTGGTAACAATCTAAATGCCCAATAACTGGGCATTGATTAAAGAAGTGATACATTTATATATTTCAACACTATGTCATTTAAAATATTAAAGTATAATATTTAATGATATAAAATGATTGTGAAATTTGAAGTGTAAATGGCAGGTACCAGTGTAACTACTGTGTGGTGGTCTCATTTTTTAAAAGTGCATGTGTGTATCTCTGCATAGAATTGGAAGGCTGTGTTTCAGCAGCAGTCATTTTGCACCATAGAGTTGTGAAGGGTTTGTATTTTCTTTTCATTTGTGTTTTTTCCTGTACGATGACTGTGTTTACTTTGTAATTGAAAAATATGAAGTCAGTGTTGCCCAAATACAAAATATACCAAGTCCTATATAGTTGCTTGAATTGGGTCACAGATTTGACTCTCGTCTTTTCAGTAGCAAAAGTAAAAATACTTTATAAGATTTATGATATTTACAAAATAAGAGCAGAATTTTGTGTGTGTGTTTGTGTTTATTATTTTGATTTGGTGTTTCTTTTTCCATGAGAAATGCAGCTTTTCCTAGTATCTCGGATCTGATAGTACAGTCTTCATGGGGCTCTCTAAAGATGACCCTGTGTAAAGTAAAGAATGAACTGTATCTTCTATAACTTTATGGGAATTAATATTCAGTTATATTATCCCTGCAGTAAATGTGGTGGCAAGTTCTGTATGGCTGTTGCTCTTAACATCCCTCAATGTAAGCTTTCAGCATAATACAAAGAGCCCAAAACAGTGCAATAACCTGATTCTAATAATCTGGCTTGTTACAAGACTACAATTTTATGTGTCTGTGGAAATGGATGGACCAAACATCTTGAAGGCGATCTTCATTGGGTATATCTTGCCACCAAACGATTGGTAATTTAAGAGCATAGCATTAGAGATCATGCTTCCTGATGAGAACCAACGAACGAATGAATGCATTCATACCTTAAATATGTAAATCAGAAAGGAAAATAGGATTTTAAAATCTCATTTATTACAAATCATGATATTTAGAGACTCTATTATCTTCAGATTAGTCATTCTTAAAAGAAAGTACTTAATACAGGAAATATAATGTCTTGGCCAGTAATAATAGGTGCTAAATTAGTTGCAGGTACTTTGTTTTTTATTTCTATTCTGTGCATTAAATCTGTAACTGTGTTTAGTTGGATTTTGACCCTATATTGCATTGATGTACCAGATAATCAGTTTTTATTTTGTTCATTCAGGGAGAAACTTATTCGTCTTCAGCATGAGAACAGGATGTTAAAAATTAACCAAGAGGGTTCAGACAATGAAAAAATTGCCTTATTGCAGAGCCTTCTAGATGATGCAAATCTACGCAAGAATGAACTGGAGACGGAAAATAGGTAGAGTACCTATAGGTGGCACAAGTTTTCCCTATTTGCCTTGATTTTGATTCCCTTTAACAAAGATTTGAATTGTACTTTGAAATGGGGTCTTGCTATATTGCCCAAGCTGGTCTCAAACTCCAGGCCTCAAGTTGTCCTCCCAAGAAGCTGAGATGACAGGCTTAAGCCACCACAGGCTTGAGTCACCACGCCTGGCTCTTTCATCTTAAGAGAACTTTAATCCATTCTACCACTTTTGGGCCAACTTGCCAAGAAATGTTGTGCCTCTTTATAATGACATTAACCATTCTTTCTTCAAGTGAAAGGATATCAAAGCTCTACCATTTACTCTTTCTAATGACTAATTAAAGCAAGAGAATTAAAAAAAAAATCTGACCATTAATTCACAGTCTTTCACAACAGTTTCAATTCCCAATCACTGTTGGGTTGGTTAAGTTTGCCGTGTGTTCAGCAGCCAGTGGTTTCCAAGGGTCCGCTGGTGTGGGGAATAGATGGGGATCCATCATAACTGAATTGACAAAGCCTTTTTCCTGATCCGCTCTTTATTTTGACCATAAAAGGAAATCAGTAATCTTATGAACAGTTCAATTATTTTGAGAATTTAAAATTTACAGATTTAACAAGAAAATTGCTTTTCTGCTTATAATTTTTCAGTGTATGGTGTTATAGAGCCTTCAAAGTTAGTTACTTTAGAAAAAGTAATTTACTCTGGAGGGTTACATTTATATTTGGTTGTGACTGTCTTTTGCTTCTTTTTGCCTTTTGGAAATGTTTCTTAAATAGCAAACATATAGTGGGTTTTTTTTTATTGCTGTGATATTCTGTCATTTTTGAGAGATGTGACATTTTATTAATAGCTTCATAGCTTGCCTGATATTACAGAAGTTTTGTTTATTATGCCTGATCAATTTGGCATTCCCAGTCTAAATGGCTCTGACAGTTTTACACACCCTACCCTTCCTCCTGTGGCTTTCGGTTTTGAAGCTGCTGAGGTAGAATCAGCAAACAGCATAAGTCAGTGTAAATACTAGGGTGATTACAAGAGCACCAGTAAGCATAAACAGAAGGAGAAAATTTTTACATCAACTCTCAGGAGCACAGAGAATGAGTGATGTTTTAGCGTGGGAAATGGAGAAGGTGGGGGAAGGGCCTCACGGGAAGGAAGCAGCTGGGTTGGAAGTGTCTCGTATTTGCCTCGTCAGTCTTCTGCCTCTGAGGTGTATCTTAACCATTTCAGTCAGGAAAGTCTCTTCCTACCCTAAGTTTTTTAATGGAAAAACAGCCACAACTTTCTTGATAATGCTTTTGCATTGTTTCTCGCAGGCTTCGCAGTTACTGCTCTGTTTTTTTAATCAGAGACGGGACAGCCATCATCATTCGTACAGTATCCATGCGTGTAGATGACTAATTACCTCCCAAGTGCCTGTGTTATTTACAGCTGTTTACAACTTAGTGTTGTGATTGTTTCTTATTTTTAGATTATGGCCACCTATGATCTATAACAAAAGTAATAATAATAGCAATATTTATTAAGCACCTGTTTGTTCCAAACATTGTGCTACGTATTTTAAATATGTCGTCTTATCTTTTATTTTATTTTTTTTTTGAGATAGGGTCACTCTGTTACCTGAGCTAGAGTACAGTGGTGTCATCATAGCTCACAGCAACCTCAAACCCCTGGGCTCAAGTCATTCTCCTGTCTCAGCCTCCCAAGTAGCTGGGACTACAGGCATGTGCCACCACACAGGCTAAGTTTTTGATTTTTTTGTAAAGACATGGTCTCACTATGTTGCCCAGGCTGATCTTAAACTCCTGGCCTCAAGGGATCCTCCTGCTTCACAATCCCAAAGTGCTAGGATTACAGGCGTGAGCCACCAAGCCTGGCCTGTCTTACCTAAGCTTCCTGACTCTAAAGCCTCCATGACTAACCAGTACCCTCTTTCTTGCCGACTTATCTCATACCGTGTTTGCCGAATCTTTATTCATTTTCCTGTGTTTCTCTCACAGGATGCTTTTTCTCTTACGTGAATTATGCTGTTTATTCTTACTGAGTTTTATAAGTATTTACATCACCTTGTCTCCAACTTAATCGCTTACTAGTTTACAGCATCGGACCAGATACCAGGAAACCCGAGTTTTAGTCCCACTGAGTCTTTTAACTCTGTTGCCGTAAATACAGTTTGCTCACTACCCATGTATGGTATGTGTCATCCGTCAGAAGGCAAGGTTTGCAGTAGACCTCAAAGTCCCTGCCAATTAGTTTTCCCAGTGAGTTAGCATTTTTAAAGTGTCTATAATACCTGCTGACCCTCAGACAATATGAGGAGAGGGATGAAGGGCTGAGGTTGGAGCCATATCAGAATTGTCCAGGGAGCTTTGTGCAGGGATCCAGGATCTCACTTGCATTGTGATCGCGAGTTCACTCTCCCCTTCAGCCCCTTGACAGCTATATGTCTTCAGTAATTAGACTTTGATTAAGATGTTAACTAACTCCCTAAAGGGGGAGAAAGAAAGTAGACAATCCACATTCATAGAATGTGTGTACAGGTATTCATATATCATCTCACTTAATCTTCTAAACAACCCCATGAGGGAGGCATTATAATGCTCATTTATTTTGTAGACAAACTTTTTTAATGTATGTTTATTTATATTTGTGTTGCTTACATACTTCATACTTTAACAGGTGCATTATTTGCTCGTCCATTCCCCATTGCACGGCATTTAAATTGTTTTCAAATCCCTCCAAGGAACATCCTGGTGTAGCGTGGGGTTGTGCTGTATGACATTTCCACGCTGCCCATCTAGGAGGCTTACGATGTTGGTAATAGTCTCAGAAATGGCTAAAATACATAGTTAAATAGTCTTGTAGCTAAATACATGTTTCCATATTGCTTTTAGAAAATGATGGAACAAAATTACAATGTCCCCATATTGAATGTGGATTTTCAGATAATTTATTCTTTTACTACTCAAAAAACATTCATATTTTGTATTCCCTAATGTAAAAAAGTTATTACAAATTGATTAAATTTTACTATCATTCTCTGTAACTTAAGTAAAAAAAAATTCTTACTGAACTTTTTGGCTGTTTGGATTCTAAACACTTATTGCTGTTTTGTCCTTAGTTTGGGGCACTCTGGCTTTTATAACTACCATTTCACTAAAATATTTCTTACTAAAATAACCAGTCACCTCTCAAATGGCTAATCCAGGGGAGCCTTTAAGACTCTGCTTCCTTATCATCTCTCAACTGTATTCAGTTTTGTTGCTAAATTCCTTCTTCTTCACATTTTTTCTTTATTTCAGTACCCCCCGGCTTATGCCCCAGTTCCCTGGTCATTCTCCAGGCTGAGCTCACCCTCCTGCCCCGTGACCGATCTGCCACAGGCCGTGCCTGTTGGTCTTCTACACTCTTCTTCGCTTTCTTTTCAGATAGTATCATTTATGTCCTGGCTTCAGTTAACTCCAAGTGGCTCCCAAATCTGCGTGTTCAACTCAGATTTCACCCCATGCTTCAGGTTCAGATCTCTAGCTGTTGACAGACATTTCCAGTCACTTCATTTTCAACAGAAACAAAATCAGATAATTTATATTCCTTTCTCAACCTGTTCCTACTGTCTTCATTTTCTTGGTGAATACCAAAATCCTAAGTGCTATTTAGTGGTAATATTTTCGATTCCTTGTATTCTTTTGCCTTTTCTCAAAACATTTCCTCCTCTGTCTCCTCCTATTTCGGGCATATTTAGTAATAATTGTAATAGTCTCTCAGCCCGTTCTCTGACCTTTTCAGTAGCATCTACCTCTCTAAAACCAATGTGATCTCTCTGAACTACTGTCTGATCATATTTTCCCCTTCTTGCAACCCTTCGATATCACCTAAGACCTAGGGAACCAAACTGGTCTACTGAATGTTGCATCATAATGACCTAGAGAAGTTATGAATGTCAGGCCCTGGAATCAGCATTAGTAAAGATTGCCTGGATTAGGCTGGGCGCGGTGGCTCAACGCCTGTAATCCTAGCCTCTGGGAGGCCGAGGCGGGAGGATCGCCTGAGCCCAGGAGTTTGAGGCTGCTGTGAGCTAGGCTGACACCACGGGACTCTAGCCAGGATGACAGAGTGAGACTCTGTCTCAAAAAAAAAAAAAGTAGGTTGCCTGGGTTGTTCCAGTTTCAGTCAGATTTGAGGCTTGTTGATTACAGGATAATCTCAGATAATCTCGATTCCATACCACGTTATGCCCGATCTGCTCCTTTTCTCCTCTAGTTTTCTTTCCAGCTATTCTTCCCCTCGTAACTGATTTGTCAGCCATACCATTCCTGAACTCACTGTACCCTCTAATTTTCCTGTGTACTCTGGACACAGCTCTGTCTTGAAACCCTTTCCACCCTTAACCACATGAGTATTTTATTCATTGTTCTGATCTCAGTTCACATCAGACCTGTCTCAGCTCCTCCAGAGTCCTTGCTTCTTTGGCAGATTACCATTTCTTTTGTATGCCTCTGTGCGCTGTTTTGAAGTCTTTATCTCATTGTATTTTATTTGCTTGTTTGGTTACATTTTTACTTCTGCACTAGACCATAAATTCCTGGAGTGCAGGATCTTTTAATACTGATGCTGAGCACAGTGCCTGACACGTAGACTTCATCAATACATACTGAAGTAAATTTCAGATGCATGGATATACATAAGTGCGTCAGTTTCAAAATATTTGTCCACCCAAATACTATGTTAGAAATCATTAGAAATTTCAGGCAATACAAAAAATAATCAGAAAAGTCAGCTGCTACTCATGAAATTAGGCAACTACTACACTACTACTATAAATGAGACTTTATTTTGCTAATTATACTTTCCAACCAATATGATAACCTAAGGAAAAAGGCATAAGTAAGTCAGTACTTGCAAAATTAACGTACATTTGATTTCTAGGCTGGTGAATCAAAGACTTCTGGAAGCACAGTCACAAGTTGAGGAACTGCAAAAGTCTTTACAGGATCAAGGCTCGAAAGCAGAAGATGTAAGTTTTAATACACACCCACTGTGGTCCAACAGTTTCACAATGTCGAGAAAAGATATAGCTTTTATTTTTTATTTGATGGTCTGTATCAAAATAATTTAGCATTATATTGGTTATAGAAAAGAAACAGTGTTTTCCTTTTTACTAACATTCGTTATAATAAGGACCAGACGGTACTTTATCATCTCTTTCAGGTCCTGCTGCTGGGAATTGGCAGTGCGTTTCTAGTCATTAGCTAAGGAGTTAATTGAGGCTTTATGTTTTAAATTTGTTCAGCTCAGTATTCAAAGATAAAATACAAGATTTTCCCCCTTTGGTCAAAAAAAATGCTAATAGAAACTTAGTATGTTCGATTAGAAATTTTTAATGTAGAATTGATATTTAAGAAAATAATGTCATCTCTAGAATCCCATCGTCTCTAAATTTCTGAATCCACGCCCCACTGGCCTTTCTCGCATTCCGTCCGCAGGCTGCACGTCTGTGTCGCGGCTCTGCTGCGCCCTGTGCACTCACACGGAGACGTGATCTATGCGTGTGGAGCCCAGGGCTCTGTGTCTTTACCTCGACGTGCTGACTGTCCTCCACAGCCGGCTGATCTCGGGAGAAAGTGTGAATAAGTCGTATTTTGCAAACCCCTTTACGTTTAGTGAGCAGTAAACAATAAAGCTAAGACTTATAAAGTGTTCGAAAATAGTGTAAGAGGGGAAATAAATATAAATTTTGGTGACTAGTCTTTGCTTCAGCCAGCTCTTTTGTGTTTTCTTGTTTTTTATTTATTTTTTTCCTATTACCAGTGTCATTGCTATAAACTCTGGCATTTCAGTATAAATCTGTTTGTTTCCATTGATAGAATCATTTTGAGGCATCAACTTCAGAACTATGGGTTTAGCTGATTCCATCCAGCCTTATTAATATAAGAGGGTCAGGAGCCAAAGAAGGGGAGTTAAGTATACTATTTAGAATGTACTGAGACTATGAGATAGATATAAAAAGCTCACCAGTAACCAAATTTAATCAGTTTCTTAGAACATGGTCTAGTTGATACTAGCAGCATGCCCTTCTGTCTGTGACTGGCGATTTTAGTTTATCCCTTTGTTATGTGTTGGTCGTCCTTGTTAGACTCCAGATGGATTCCCAGTTCCTAAAATTGTCACCAACATTTAAACTACTTACGTCCTTATTAAAATTTAATATGTTTTTATCTAAAATGCTAAGCCACAAAGAGGTGAAACAAAGCCACCATTAGTATATTAAAATATTGTTGAGCCCAATTAAATGTACCTTAGAGATGAACCAAAGGGAGTACCATTTCTTAGTTCAGTGAAATCACTAGGTCCCTTAAACTGAGATGAATGTAAAATTCATTCTGGTCTCTAAGAAGCTGTGAGGAAACTTTTTGTTGATTCATTATGGCAGGGAGGAGAAGGGTGTATAGCATGTAGGAGGTAAAAATGGTGAAATACCAGGACCAGCTAAACTTTAGTGTTACAGTGATCACCATTAGCTTGGTTCTCTTACTTATTTAAAACATAAATAAAAGCATTTATTCTTTAAAAAATAATTTGGCAGGCTGGGTGCGGTGACTCACCTCTGTAATCCTAGCATAGCACTCTGGGAGGCCAAGGCGGGTGGATCGCTCAAGGTCAAGAGTTCGAGACCAGCCTGAGCAAGAGCGAGACCCCGTCTCTACTAAAAATAGAAAGAAATTATCTGGACAACTAAAAATACATATATAGAAAAAATTATCCGGGCATGGTGGCGCATGTCTGTAGTCCCAGCTACTCGGGAGGCTGAGGCAGAAGGATCGCTTGAGCCCAGGAGTTTGAGGTTGCTGTGAGCTAGGCTGAAGCCATGGCACTCCAGCCCAGGCAACAGAGTGAGACTCTGTCTCAAAAAATAAATAAATAAATAAATAAATTGGCATATGCCTGATTAGGTATCGCTGTGGTAATCACATCTAATTTAAAATGCTGTGTGCCCTTACTTCAAGAGGACATATTAAAGAGAACTTTTGACAGGTGAGATGCCAGCCCTATCAAGTTCTGTTTGCATAAATTACTCCATTTGACTGTCCAGATGCTAATGAGATGTCTCGCTCTAAATAAACCAAGCAGAAGTTCTCTCTGATCTCTTTGCCATATGTAGAAACATTCAGATGGCTCAAGCTCTGCCTCCAAATGGTTTGGAGAAAGAAACAGTGCAATACAGATGTGTGGTTCTTTCCCCAGCAGATTTTTTTATGTTTTTGTCTTAACTCTTCTCTTTCACTAACCCACAGTGTTGCATCTCAGGAGTGTGTAGTACATAGAACAACCTGCCAAAGGAATCGGTCCCTTCTGACAAAGAACAACACAATTTCTGCCTGTCTGTTATCAAAAGTATAGTCCTTTCATGTGACCATAAGTCAGAGTAGGATGGTTTGCACATTTTTATTGTTATTTTTATGTCATTTGTTTTTAGCATGGAAGCAGAAAAGCATTGTTATATCCAGTCACATGGATAATTTGAGCTAGCCACAGTATATAAAACTTCAAAGAACAAGACAGGATGAGGAGACCATAGAAGAAAGAAAAATGTACATTTCTGAAAAATAATGCATATCTTTTACTTCTGTTCATGAATTACTAAATCATTCCTTCTCTTGGCTGCTGTGTTTGCTTCATACTAACTTGTCCTCTCTGTCTCTTGGCATGGCTTCTGCTCAAGGCTATTGTAAGTATGGCTTCCTTTTCATTTTTATATATTGAGCAGTTTTTTGATTTAAACATTCTCTGCCATCACGGTTGATGGTATCAAAATTTTTAATTAAGGCAATTTTATTCAGATTGAATATCTTTATTACCTGCCTTATATAGGTTTATGACCTTTACTATTAAGACACTTAAAGAATATCAAGATCTTAAAAGTCAAACCAAAAGAAATCTGCTCTTGGGTTTTTTCTCCATCCCACTTCTGCTCCACACCATTACTAATTCATTTATATAAATTATTTTGACGCTAGCTTCCTGTCGCAGTCTGGCCTCCTCCTGCCACGTGTTGTGGTAGTAACAGTCTTCGCTTTGGAGAGCCACTGCAGCACAGAAGGCCTGTAAGCAAAGACCACGCATAGGCCGTGGGGTCTGGCAGACCTGGGCTTTAATTTCAGATCTGCCACGTGGCAGCTGCTATAAAGTTATCCAGCCCCACTTCCCTCACTGTCAGATGGGGCTACTGCATACACGGTGCTAGGAGGTTTCCATGAGACTATACACATGACACGACTTAGTGCATTGCCTGGCATAGTAAACACTCATTTAATCATTTGTATATGTCATCTCAGTTAAAATTTTGCTGGCATCTAATCAAAACATAAGTACAAAATTAAGGTAAAGGTTTTTAAAAAGTATTTACATTTTTACCCTCTGTACTAAAGAAGGAATGAGTAATAATCGAAAGTTTACATGGTTGTTATCTTTCTGTATATTTGGGGGGAGCAGTGATAGAAGTCCTTGTGGCCTACTGACCTACCTATAGTTAACCTACTGAGCTAAGAGAATTTGAAATATCCTAGAGCTGTGTTAGAATAGACTTGAATAAACAGTTATGGTAATCATTATCAAATAAGGCAACTGAAAATCCAAGAGCTTAATATTCAAATTCTTTTCCCCTCATTGCTGTTGTTGATTAATTGGAAAATTTGTTTTATAAATCTATATTAATTGGTTTTGACTGAGTTATATAGCTATTTATCTCAAAGTAAAATGTTTTGTAAAATTCATTACTAGTATGTATCCTGTAAGTGTTTAGTTACAAAACTTAGTGACCCTTTATAGAATGCCTTCATTGTTTATTTTTAGGTTAATTTTGATCTCCTGCTTTATGGGAGACCTTTTTTTTAATACCTAGTCAAAGCTACATTCTCTATCGTATTAAATTCTGTACACATACCATCCGTCACACCCCATACCATCACACGAATGATTTGCAACCTGTGTGTATTTGTAAATCACTGGTTGAGTCGCAAGTATTTATGGGAATTGATCCAAGACTGTCATGATACAAGGAAAACAATAAGGCAGCTAAATGATGTCTTAAGGAAAGTTTGTTATTATTAGAGTCCTGCCTGCCTGTCGACTCCAAGAATATTAGGTCTATATTTAAGTGACTTTTTTATTCATTTCCCTGGCTACACATAAAGAATTCAGGTATCCAGTTTCTGGGTATTTTATACTAATAGCTGTCCTTTATGGGCTGCCCTCTCATTTTATTAAAGAGAGTTAAACTGGGATACATTGTATGTTTTGAGATCTTTAAACAAAGAAATTACTGAGGACTCACCCCACATTAATTACTATTGTACTCTTAATTTTTAAAAATTAATATATTAGTTTAAATGGTAGGTAATAACTAATTTTTATTTTTCATTTTTAGTCAGTTCTTCTAAAAAAGAAGCTTGAAGAACATCTGTAAGTATAGTGGCTGTTGAGGCTCATTCTCATGTTGTGGACATGGTGCTTTATGTTAGGTGGTTGCAGAGTGCCTTGGCGCCGGCACAGCCGGCCGCAAAGATCTAGAAACCATAACTAATGCACATTACTAGTGTCTGCAGGGCCCTCTCCTCCCAAGGTCCTCAAGTCAGAACAATGACTGCTTCAGAACTGCTTTCTCAAACGACACTCCAGCAGGCTTTTATATCTTTGTGATAGTGTTTATAACCATAGTTAGGAATTTGAGACACTCCCGACCATGGGCCAGACACCTTTTCTGTAAAGAGCCCGTCAGTACTGGTCTCTGTCCCAGCCATTCAGCTCTGCAGCGTAGCTCGAGGGCGGCCGTAGACGGCACGCAGACTGATGGCGCGACTGTTCCGGTAGCATCCACGCCACACGCGGGTCACAGGCCGGACTTCGCCCACAGGCTGCTGTCGGCCAGCTCTGATGTATGGCCGGCCTAATCTTCCTTCTGAAGTAAATTTTTTTAAAGTATAAAAACTTGTCAGTAGCAGATTGTCAAATCTTTCCTTGAATTACAGACATATCTGAACAGGTCTTGTTAATCTAAAAGGTGAAATAAATTTTAAAGCAGTTATATTTGCTTTCTCATGAAGAAGAAATCTTCATCTATATAATACCTTTATCTTTAGCTGAGGTTGACAATATTAGAAATGGTTCATGGTTTTCTCACACCCAGCAGGAGCTTTAATACTCCTGTCACTCCTGGCAGGCACTGAGTTGGGGCTGTCAGTTGCCAGCCCGCTGGAGTGTTACAGTGTTACACGGTGCTAAACCACACATCCTCAGTACACAGAGATAATTTTCATTTATTCTACTAGGATTGGAAAGAAATTCTGTTGTCTGCCTCATGCTATCCAGTTTTGTGTTTTTGTTTTTGTTTTTTTAAATGTGGGCGACATGAGATACTCCTAGCAACTGAGATCGCTAGAAAGTCTACCAATGGGCAGATCCAAAAGTACTGGAAGAACAGAAAATGTTACTTCCAGCCTTTGTAAGAATTACGACGAGAATTTAGTACTAAATCCTGTCTTCTTTTCATTAATTTCCCATTCCTTTATGGCAAAAGATAGAACACCTGTCATTCCGTAAAACTACTGTCTGACCATTGTTCTGTGCTCATCATTTATGTGGTAAAAATCTTCATCAGAAAGGATCTATTAATGAAGATGGAAGCTGTATTAGTTTCCCGTTCCTGCCATAACAAATTACCCCAAACTAGATGGCTTATGACAACCGAAATATTCTCTCATAGTTCTGGAGGCTAGAAGTCTAAAATCAAGTTGTCAGCAGATTGGTTCCTTCTAGAGGTTCTGAGGAAGAATCTGCCCCTCTCCTGGCATCTGGTGGCTGTCGGCAATGCTTGGTGTTCCTTAGTTGTATTAGGTCATTAAACATGAAATGTCCGATTTTGAATCAAAAGTTTAGTTTATTGTATCTCAAACAAGAAGCAGTGCAACTACTCAAAGTGTGTGCCTAAACTGTCGACACAGTTTTGCCATCTTAACGGTAGCTTGTTTATGCCAGCAGTGAAGAAGCCTGGAGAGTGGCAATGAAATCGCAAAAGGCGTTTTCTATACCTTGTTGAGAATTGAATATTTTTCCTTGCAAGAAGTGGTCCAAAGCCTGGAAGAAGTGGTAGTTGGTGCAAGGTCTGGTGAATACGGTGGATGACAGAGAGTTTCGAGTCCAGCTTCTGTAGTTTGAACAGCATTGTTTTTTGCTATATGTGGTCTTGCAAGAGGATTAGCCTGTCTCTATTGACCAGTCTTGGCTGCTTAATCGCAAGCATCATCATCATTTTGTCCAATTGGTTGCAGTAACATCCACTGTAACTGATTGACCAGGTTTCACAAGGCTACAGTGTGTAATACCAGCACTGGACCACCAAACAGACACCATTAGCTTTTTTTGGTGAATATTTGGTTTTGGATTGTGTTTTGGCATTTCATCTTTATCCAACCATTGTGCCGAACACTTAGGATTGTCAACAAGAATCCCTTTTTCATCACATGAAACAATACGGTGTAGAAATGGTTTGCTTTTATGTCGTGACAGCAAAGAAAGGCAAGCTTTGAGACGATTTTTCTTCTAATGTTCATTTGATTCATGCGGAACCCATCTATCCAGCTTCTGTACCTTGCCCATTTGTTTCAAGTGGTCCAATATTGTTGGAATAGTAACGTCAAACCTTGCTGCTAATTCACACGTAGGTTGAGATGGATTCTCTTCCACTACAGCTTTCAGCTTATCCAGCTTGGTCTCAGGTCACCACGTGGCTCATTTTTAAGATTAAAATCACCAGAATGGAACTTCTCAAACCATCAGTGTACTATGCATTCATTACCTACATCCTTCCCAAACACTTTGTTGATGTTTCAAGTTCTCTGTGCTGCATTAGTTCCATGATGGAACTCATATTCAAAAATAACACAAATTTTTGACTTATGCATGGTTTCACAAAAATTGCTCTAAAAAAATTTTTTTGAAAGGTAATCACAAGCCAAAACATGCATTTGAAACAATGAGGATGTACCTTCACAATAAAAAAAAAATAAGTGTCAAAACAAAATGTCAGAGATATCAACTGTCAGCCATTTCATACTTAATAAGCTAGTATTAATAGATGTATCACTCTAATCTCTTCGTCCATCTTCACAGTGACATTCTTTTCTCTGTAGGTCTGTCTGTGTCTTCATGTGGCCTTATAAGGACACCAATCATTGGATTTAGGGCCCACCCTCATCTAATATGGCCTCATCTTAACTAATGACATCTACAAAGACGCAATTTCCAAATAATGTCACATTCATACATCCTAGGGATTAGGACTTCAATTTATTTTTGGGGGGAGATACAATTCAACCCACTACAAGGCCCATAGACATCTCAAAAGATAACCAGTCTCATACAAATTTAAAACTACAGTAGAGGGCGGGCATGGTGGTTCAGACACGTAATCCTAGCGTGCTCTGGGAGGCCGAGGTGGGAGAATCGCTCGAAGTCAGAAGTTTGAGACCAGAACTGAGCAAGAGTGAGACCCCGTCTCTCAAAAAAATAGAAAAAATTACCTGGGCAGCATGGCGCGTGCCTGTAGTCCCAGCTACTCGGGAGGCTGAGGCAGGAGGATTGCTCGAGCCCAGGAGTTTGAGGTTGCTGTGAGCTATGATGATGCCACTGCACTCTAGCCCAGGGCAACAGAGTGAGACTCTGTCTCAAAAAAAAAATCTGCAATGGAGACCATTTTACACACACCAAATCGGTAAATATTTTAAAACGCATGCATACTAAGTATTGCTAAAGATGTTGAGCAGTGGTAATTCTTACCCACCACTGGTAGGAGTATACATCAGTTTGCTTCGTAAACTTGAACATGTACATATTCTGTGACCTCTCGATTCCACTATATATACCCTAGATTCCTAGAGATATTGTTGTCCGTGTGTACCAGGAGACATGTAGAAGAACGTATGGAAGAATATTGTCTGTAATCACAGAAAAGGAGAAACAGTACAAATGCAAATACAAATAGATATAACAAAGTGCTCTATTTTTTTAATTTGTATTTTTTTATATCTTCCGATTTTTACGGCCGTTTTTCCTACTCACGTTACATAGTGCCACATTAAATACTATAAAGGGGGCCGGACGTCGTGGCTCACACCTGTAATCTTAGCACTGTGGGAGGCCGAAGCAGGAGGATTGCTCAAGGTCGGGAGTTTGAGACCAGTCTGAGCAAGAGGGAGACCCTGTCTTAAAAAAATAGAAAAAATTAGCCGGTCATGGTGGCGCACACCTGGAATCCCAGCTACTCAAGAGGCTGAGGCAGGAGGATCGCTTGTGCCCAGGAGTTTGAGATTGCAGTGAACTAGGCTGATGCCACAGCACTCTAGCCTGGGCAACAGAGCGAGACCCTGTCTCAAAAAATAAATACTATAAAAGGAGAACTACACATATACAAATACCAGGGAAAAAACTTGCTTTCTGTTAATTCTTTTGCTTTTATATTGGAATATAACTTAAGTAGTAAAGTATACATATCCTGAGTCCTAAGTGTACAGTTTGATGTTACCCAGAATGACATGTAGAGTATTTCCAGCAACCCAGAAAGATTCTGCCTTCTGCCTCCTGGTTGACTGCCCAGACGAGCCACAGTGCTAATCTAAGTCACCTTCCATTAGTTTTGATACTTCTGACCTTTGCATAAATGGAGTCATACGTTATTACCCTTTTGACCTCTTTTGTTCACCATTATTCTGTGAGATCTATTCATATCACCTTCCCTTGGTTTTGACACTTTTGACCTTTATAGAAATGGAGTCATACATTAATTACCCTTTTGACTTCTTTTGTTCAGCATTATTCTGTGGGATTTATTCATGTGGTTGCCTATGTCATTAGGTCATTCTTTTTTATGGATAGGTAGTGTTTTCTTCTTATTTTTAGAACTTCATTTTTTTTGCAACAAGATTTTGCATTGTAAAACCTCTGCAAAGTTTTAAATTTAATTTTTACAATATCCTTAATCCTAGAAAAAAATAAAGATCTGTATCCTCTCTTATACAGGTTTACATAAAAGAAATGGCTATTATTTCAAACAAAGCAAAAATTTGTCTTTATTTTTTAAAATATATTCATGTTAGTTTAGTCTTTTCATCTTTGTTTCACAGCACTTGTGTGCAATCCAAATATAAAGAACTTAGATCTTTAATTTGAAGTGGGAAAAATATATTAAATAGAAACAGTAGTAGGTGACACAGTGTCACATATTTTGTTACAGAGAGAAGCTGCACGAAGCCAATAATGAACTGCAGAAGAAGAGAGCCATCATCGAAGACCTTGAGCCAAGATTTAACAACAGCTGTGAGTGTTTCTTAATTCGCATAGTTTTAAAATGGGCTAACCATACACTACCCTAGTGATAATGAGTTTATATAAAATTTTTCTTTAAGAAATAGGCCCTATTACATATTCTAGCAATTAAAGAATTTGTCTTATTTACAGAAAGAATATATAATCATCTTATGTCTTAAATTTCTAATTATGGTTATGAATTTTTCCACAACTGTGGATTCCAATGACTATTATGTGAAGTTAGATATTTTCATATTGTATTATAGTTGCCTGTAAGTCAGCCAAACTAGTACTTCCATTGATATTTACACCTGTAGGGGGCTTGACTTGGTCAATTCTTTTGTATTAACTAAGAGATGAGAGGTGAGAGGACAGGCTTTTACTTTACTGTGGTAAAATATACATAACAAACCAACTATTTTAAGTGTACAGTCCAGTGGCGTTAAGTACATTCACACTGTTGTACAGCTGTCACCGCTACCCACGTCCAGAATTTTTACATCATCCCAGACTGAAACTCTGTACCCATTAAACAGTAACTCTCCACTCCCTCTTCTTCCCAGCCCCTAGTAACCAACATTCCACTTTCTGTCTCTATGAATTTGACTATTCTAGTTAACACACATAAGTAGAATCATATGTGTCCTTTTGTGTCTTGCTTATTTCACCTAGCATAATGTCTCCATGTTGTAGCATGTATCAGAATTAAGGCTGAATAACAGTACTTTGTACATATATACCACATTTTGTTTATCCATTCATCCATCAATTTGTACTTTTTAATTTATGTACTTCTGTTATGATTAATGTATAAAGCAAAAATTGGGCAAAATTTTTATTTATAAGAAAAGCTTTCTGTAAAAAAAAATTATGAATTGGGTTTTTGTTTGTTTGGTTTTAGAGATGGGGTCTTGCTCTGTCACCCAGGCTGGAGTGCAGTGGCTCAATCACAGTGCACTGCAGCTTCCAATTCCTGGGCTCAAGCGATCCTCCTGCCTCAGCCTCCCGAGCAGCTGGTGTACTACAGGCATGCACCACTTTGACCAGCTATGAATTGGTTTTCTATAAAAGGAAATTGTGTTACAATCTCTCAAAGCTTTTAACTATTCATTATTAGTTGAAATATATTTAAAATTGTTACGGTCTAAAAATATTTTTTCTTACTGTGTCTCATCTGCAGCCTTAAAAATCGAAGAACTACAAGAAGCTTTACGGAAGAAAGAAGAAGAAATGAAACAAATGGAAGAACGATATAAAAAGTACTTAGAGAAAGCCAAAAGTGTAAGTATGAATTTGTGGACATCTCACTCCACTTTCTGACCATGTTTCACTATAGTCTTGAAATGTGGTTCACGTACAGCGTAGTGAGTTCCCACATAGAGAACCATCAGGGAAAAACAAAGAATCTTTTAACAAATAGGAGGCTGAACAAGAAGCAATGATCAAAATACGTCACTTCACAGATTACGTACTAATTACCAAGAGGAAATACACCTGATATAGGAAACGAGTGGTAGTCACCACCATAACCAGTCATCAAAATCAACACCACCAGTTTATGGTGGGACAACCAACACCCTGTGCCTCCTGATGGAGTGTCACTGTCAGTAATAATCAGCCCAAATCCAGGCAACTTCCAGTTCACAGAAAAAATGAGGTTTATTGGAACAAGTTAAATAACACCTTCAATAACCATCAGGTAAATCTAAAATTTGGGATAAAAGTTCTTGTCATAAAAACAAAAACAGGCAGTGGAGTGTGGGAGAGCCCCACCTAATTTGCAAATGCAGTGCATTCTCTTTTGGGTCTGGCATTGGGGCTGGAGGAAGTCAATTATAAAAGACATTTAGGGGACATCTGTGGAAATGTGAATTTGGACCACATAGTGATGATTTTATCGAATTGTTCATTTTCTTTACAGATGATAAGGTATTGTAATTATATAGGATAACATCCTTAATCTAAGGAGATTCATGTTGAAGTATTTACGGGTTACATGTCATAAGGTCTGCAAATTACTTTACAATAGTCCCTAAAACAAGTAACTATGCCTGTGAACGTGTGTGTGTGCCTGTGTGTGCACACATCTGTATACCAACTGGTGACTCTAGGTTAAAGTAAAAGGGTTTTTATTGTTCTACCCTTTCAAGTTTTCTGTGGGCTTGAGCATTTTAATAGTAAAGGCTTTAAGGAAAAAAGTAAAAAGACTTTCCCTGAAGCCCTCTTCTTGGCCAGAACTGACCCAGTACCCATGCCCAGGCCGAGCTACCAGCAGAGGAGGAGATGGGGCCACAACAATAGGTTTGAACCAATCAGGACCCACTCCCCGAGGTATGTACCTGTTGAGCAGCAGGGGGCTTGCCAACTGGAATCAGAGGAGAGGAAAGGGTAGACAGCTGTCAGTGGTGCCTGCGTACAGTCACGAGTTGCTTAATGATGGGGACATATTATGAGAAATGCAGCATCGGGCCATTTTGTTGAGCAAACACCACAGAGTCGGCGTACATAAACCTGGATGACATAGCCTGCTGCACGCCTAGGCTGTGTGGTATGGCCCCTTGCTCCTAGGCTACACACCTGTGCCACGTATGACTGTGCTGAATAGTGTGAGGAAATTGTACCACAATGGTAAGTACTTGTGTGATAGGAATTTTTCAACTCCATTAATCTCACAGGACCACCACCATATATGTAGTCCATTGTTGACCCAAACATCATTATGTGGCACATGACTGTGTTTATTAATTTTAGCCAGAATTACTTCTTATAATTGATTCTTTTTTTTTTTTTTTTTTTTTTTTTTTGTGACAGAGTCTCACTCTGTTGCCCGGGCTAGAGTGAGTGCCATGGCGTCAGCCTAGCTCACAGCAGCCTCAAACTCCTGGGCTCAAGCAATCCTCCTGCCTCAGCCTCCCGAGTAGCTGGGACTACAGGCATGCGTCACCGTGCCCGGCTAATTTTTTTTATATATTCTCAGTTGTCCAGCTAGTTTCTTTCTATTTTTTTAGTAGAGATGGGGTCTCTCACTCTTGCTCAGGCTGGTCTCGAACTCCTGAGCTCAAACGATCCACCCGCCTGGGCCTCCCAGAGTGCTAGGATTACAGGCGTGAGCCACCACACCTGGCCATAATTGATTCTTTTACATAATTAAAAAGTTATAAATATGTACGACTATTCTGTAGCCATAAAAAAAATTTAAGTTACAACAATTACAGCCAGATGCAACGGCTAACACCCCTAACCCTAGCACTTTGAGAGGCCGAGGTTTGAGGCCAGGAGTTTGAGACCAGCCTGAGCAACATAGCAAGACTTAGTCTCTACAAAAAATAGAAAAATTAGCCAGGTATGTAGGTGCATGCCTGTAGTCCCAGCTACTTAGGAGGCTGAGGCAAGAGGATCGCTTGAGCCCAGGAGTTGGAGGTTGCAGTGAACTGTGAGCAAGACCCTATCTCAAGAAAAAGAGTTATAACAATTAACACTATTTCATGTATTCACTTCCAAAGTACCATTGGAAGGTAGCCTTTGATTCTCATAGGTTTATCCCTTGATTTTTTTTTTAATTGCTTTCTTAGAAGTTTCAGACTTTGAAAATATTTCTTTTATTACTTTTTGCAGGTTATCCGTACTTTAGATCCTAAACAGAATCAAGGAGCAGCACCAGAAATACAAGCTCTTAAAAATCAACTCCAGGAACGGGACCGACTGTTCCACTCATTAGAGGTAGGTAGTTCACTGTACTATGTATTGGTTGTTTTATTTTTTAAAACCAGTCAAATTTAGCAGTGGGGGGTTGTATACCAACTTTAGTGACACTAATGTTAATAAGTTCTGATAACCCACTACCATTGGACCAGCCAAAATATTTGTTTTTTGATTCTTTATTTTCTGGGATCCTTGCTATACAATTGTATTCATAATTTAGACAGTTAATTAAGTATCTTTTTAGGTTATTTTATACCTTTTCATACTTGTGTGTTTTTTTTTTTTTTTTTTTTTAGAAAGAATACGAGAAAACGAAGAGTCAGAGAGAGATGGAGGAGAAATACATTGTTAGTGCCTGGTACAATATGGTAAGAAAACGGCACTTGAGAACACAGTCCACAGTTGGGTGACTGCGTCGTGCTGTTACACTCCCTTTACTGTAGAAGCCATCCTGCCACATGCGTCTGAAAGTAACCGCTGGCGGACGTGCACCAACAGAACCTAACGCCGGCCTTAGGGCTGAGCAGCAGGCGCAAGAGGCACCACAAGCAGGGCGAGAGCATTTTCGCAGCAGCAGCGTTTCGAAAGGATAGAAAGATAAATGTCAGTTTAATTTCTGTCCCTCAGAGCCATTGATTGTGAGGGAAAACGACATTAATAGTATCTATACGTAGCTGCGGTAACTTTTGCGGGACTATTTCAGCGCTTTTGCAAGGTGGTACTTAGGTCAAGGGTAGTTTAACCAGCTCGTGGGGTTCGGCAGGTGTTCACAGTGTCAGACCCTGAGCCATGAGAGATTTTGAAATTGAATAACCCAACACAAAAAAACTGATGCTCATCAATATTCTGGTCTGGACATGAATAGTTATGACTTTTAAAGAATGCTGTACTTTTTTCAATATTTTTTTCCCCAGACTTTTTGTCTTCCTTTTCTTTTTTTGTTCTTTTCCCCCAGTAAGACCACCACTTCTGCCTTTGCAGTTAGTTGTCTGAGACAGGAAATGGGACAAGATTCCTTTCAAAATCCTCCTCTGACCCTGTAACTCTGTTATTGGCACAGCATCACTATTTCTGTTATACAGGTATAACTGATACTGCCTCTTAAAGGTTAGTGTCCCTGGCCTCCTCAAGATGTGATTTGGTCTTTGTCAAAAATTCATAGATTTCATGACATGTCCAATTTGCCTTGGTTGAAACTATGTAGTTAAGATTTTATCACAATTTTAAAAAACAAACGAAATCATATTGCATCTAGAATACTATTATTGTTAACAAATGTAGATTTCTTGAAAATTAAAGTTTAAAGGTAGAAAGGAAAACTATATTTAAGGAAGTTTTCTGGGAATTAGTCCTGACTTTCAACTATTCTGTCTCTTCTTTGTCCTCCTCGAAGCTTAGTGTTAGTGATCTTGGAGCTCTGCATTTCAGTCCTCGCTGCTAATTTTGTATTCTTGATTGATTTTTATGACTTCACTTATTGTGTTTCTCATGGAACCAGATTTATTTATTCTGTGACATGGAACTAAAGAATAGTCCTAATTTTTAACGCTTCAGAGTGAAGGAATAACTCCAAATAGACTCACACGAGTTATGCTCAGATAAGAAAACCAGTGGCAGCATCACGCTTGCATTTCAAAGTTCCACATCTCAGGGGCCTTGAGTGGCGTGAAGATGAGGAGCGCTAGCAGAGGCACTAAGCAGCTCGGAGAATGGCCTTGCCATGGACACAGGGTCTTAGAAGTGAGTGAAGAATTGAATAAAATTGCTTGAAATGTGAAAGTGAAAAAATCATAATATTTTAAATCAAATATAGTTTTTAATATATGTAGCTAAACCAATGAATTAAAGATCACCAATAGATATTCGATAATTTTATTCAAATCCTTAAATGCTTTGATTTCAAGTTGAGTTAAAAAACATGTTCTGGATTTTCTCATTCGGAAAATGTGGTATATTTGAGTATGTATCCATAGACTGAAATAGTTAAGAATGCAGAGCCGTGGCCTGTGACCTGTTTTTCCTTAGAAACTAATGATAGGAAGATTTATCCACTAGCCTCCTGTCTTCTGCGCGTTGCTCATTTCGTTCCGGGAAAGCTGTGTTTCTTTCCACACGGCTTGGCTTGGCTTGCTGTCTGACTCTCCCTTGGGTCCTCTTGCTTCTTTCTTCGTAGCTGCCAACCTCTCCCACTTCCAGCAGTTTACTCGCATCCAGGCTTTGGTGAGATTAAACAGCAGCCCACAGTTCTTAATATTTCTCTGGCTAGGGCTCTGCTCTGGCTTATTAAATGAGTACCAAAAGATTGCTTTTTTCCTGATCTACTCGTAGCCTTCTGCCTTGAGTAAAGTAGAATTATTATTGCATTGTTGTTATTCCTCCCCGTTCAGGGAGTGCCCTGGAGGTTTCCTCCTTCCTGTTAAGGTGCTCTAGGCCCAGCAATTGTGCGTCCTCTCCCTCATAAGCTAGTAAGCGATCCTTCTCATGTCTTCAAGAAATATCACCTGCTTTCGGTTGGCCCTCTGTTGTGGGCTGTCAGGAACTTTTCTTAATTTGAGAATCCAAGTCTGCCTTGAAGTGAAGAAAAACGCCGTAGTGGTATGTATGTGTAATACCTAATTTGGACTTCCACCTTAAGAAACAAGTTCATTTGTGTTTTTCTATTCTGTTCTAAATAAGCCCAGTGATTTCCACAACCCATGCGAATCAACTGCTACCAATCAGTTGCACTTTTTTTCTTGGAAAATCACTTTGTACGTTTAATTTGAAAGGGGGAAATATGATTGAATATGGGCAATGTATTCTAAAAATCTGTCTCCATTATATATTGTCTTGGTTATTGTGAAATCAGACAATTAAGCCTCAATTTTTCCAAAAGATTTGTACCTAATTGTTGGAACTAAAATGCCTCTATAAGATTTTAATCTATAATGAGGAGAATTAATATTCCTAATTGTGCTTTTTGATGCAATGTAACAAAATTCTGCATGATGACATTTTCTTTTTTCAGAGAATATTCCACTATTTTTTCATTGATTACTCTGTTTTTTTCCTGTCACAGGGAATGACTTTGCATAAAAAGGCAGCTGAAGACAGACTGGCTAGCACAGGCTCCGGGCAGTCATTTCTGGCTAGGCAGCGGCAAGCAACGAGCTCACGGAGATCTTACCCTGGCCACGTTCAGCCCGCCACAGCAAGGTAGAGAAGTCTTGCCATTAGAAACAAAAACCAACCTGCATTGAAAACATACTTCTGTTACATATAACAATGTTTCAGGAAATTCAGCCAGCTTATTTTTTGTTTCTCTTCTCTGTTAACATAGAGTGTTTCTCATTTGAAGACTTTTTCTCTTTCCTGTATCTTTGTTTTAGAGTCTTTGTCCTTTAATTTGTAATCCTTTCAGTTCCTTTTAATGTGCCAAAAATTTATACATGTTCAATTAAAAATGTTGTATAATAGTGTAATACTTTTCTTTGTATGAAAATGTCCTCTTCCCCAAAGGTGTAGGCTTTGTAATGAATTAGATTTTCTGCCAATAATTGATACACAATTTATATTCCTTATTGTGCCTATGTGTTATCATGCTTTATAAGAATGTCTTTGTTTAAAGGGAATTAATCTTTTTATGATGTATTAATCTGTTTTCAATTGTTTTCCAAATACACTTCAAATAACTTGCATATTTACTATACAAAGTGGTTGACAAGTGTTCTTTTTGCAAAGACGTAAATACATTGGCAGAGGTGCTAATCTGATATTATTTAAGGCACCTGGTAGAATTATTTAGAGAAAAAAATGAACTTTCACATTATTTTATAGGAAATTAAATTTGTCCATAGATTTGGAGACTATTTTTAAAACATAAATATGTAAAATTTCATTATTTCTTGCTATCTTGTTTGCTGGCAGAAGTGAATGCATTGGTGAGGTTATTCGAGGGTATGTTACAGAAGAAAAAAGATCAGGCAGTACATTAATTTTTCTGTTTGTTTTGGAATATCTTAGTAACTGAGGATCGGATTCTAGCAGTGTGGTTGACATTTATACTTTTGGTTGCTCTCCATGTCTGAAAGATTTGTCTTTCACACGCATACTTACAAGTTATACGCAGCCTTCCTTTTGGGCTGTTTGTTCACGTATGCCTCATTTGTTTTGCTTATTCCTTAATATAAACCCTTCCATTTCTCAATAATTCCTAACAGTTAACATCTTAATATCAGTCATTAAGATTAATAAGTAACTTCTTATATGTGATATTATGACAAGTCTCTACATTTTTTTCTTACATCTATTTACTAGTACAGGATTTGTTACTAAATAGATTTTCTTGCGTATTCAGTTGCCTCAAAGTGCTTATTACTTTTGTCAACAGATTGTAAACCACATTTATTTACATTGATGAACGGCTGTGAAGTGATCACAGTAAAGCACTTTGTATACGTAAGGTGCTATATAAATGCAAAATATCATTCATTTGAAAATGAAATGCCTTCTGTCTAACTTTCCACATTGACTTGTTTAAGTATCTGGTCCCAAATTATATTTAAGTTTCCCTCCATCCCTTTTTTGGTGCCGCATCCCATTTTTTTTAAAAGCAAAAATTTTCTGAAATTAGGCCAGTTTTTTGTTTGTTTTTAGATAGGTCACCTACTAGGAGGATGTCACTTCATGTACTTGCTATTTGGAAGTTCAGGTTTCATTTGGTTCTGTATATTAAATATAAATAAGTAATTTTAAACTAAGCTAAATATAATTAAGAATTTTCAGAGACTATATTCATGTGTTTAATTTTAAGTCCTTATTTCCTTTTTATATAAGAAAGTTGACCTCAAAATCAGTGGTGTTTTTATTTGTCCCAGAAACTGTATTTGAAGAGAGGTATTAGAATATACACAGAAATGACTCCATGCATTGTGCTAGTTTATGTTCAGCACAGAAGTGTGAGCACAGCATGAACTCTTCTGCCTGCTGAGACCGTGGCAGCCAGACTCAGTGATGAGGGAGGGAGCCTCACCGGGGGCTTTCAGCAGCCAGGCAGACCTAATCGGCATGCAGAGTTTTGCAATAAAAGATTAAAAACTAAGATGGTTCTTAACCCCCCACCCTTATTTCACAAGTAGCATAAGGATTCAGCTGTTTTTAAAACAAATCAGGACATGAACACTAACCTTGGTAAAATTTAAATTATGGGCAAACTATATGTGCAGGTGAGATAGATGAAAACAAGAATCTATGAACTATGGTGAAATGAACTCTAGTCTGTGATAAGAAGTTTTAATTTTTGTTCCCTATTTATTGCCCAGTCCTGTTCTCCTACCCACCCACACAGAGATTTTTCTCTGCTTGGGTTGGAAAGCTGCCAAGCTTCTAGAAAGAAGTTTTACTTCTGATTTTTCCCCAGCATCTGTCGTATGCTCTCATCATGGTGTTTACGTTACAACTTTCACTCTGCTCTATGGCACCTTTAAAATTTGATTTATTACTTTCATTGCAGAGAGGCAATTCTGTTTCTAAACATTTTATGATGTTTAAAAACAAAACAAAACAGGCTTTTATAAAAAATAGCTTCCGAATATACTTTTAGGTGTCAAAAGTTAAGAATAAAACGTAACCAACAGTGGCAGCTGTTTCTTTTGCCCAGCTTTGGGTGGGGTTTGTGATATTTCTGTTTTTCCAGTAATGAGTCATAATTTCTCAGGGGGATTGTGAGTATGCACGGTCTCTCTGGAGGTTAAAGACATCAGGAGCCTCATCTAGATGCGAGCGACCCTGTGCTGTATCTTGGACTCGTGTGCCCAGTCGCTGCAGGGAGCGCCGTTCGCTGTGTGGTGGAGCCAGGCCCGGCGTCTGCAGTGGAGTCTGTGCAGTGTCAGTTGGCTTAGGCTGGAGTGAGCTGTCACCAGTGTCTGAATTCTTGTAAGCAAACAGTTCATTTTCTGTTGTCATTTTAACCAGGGTAAGAGTATAAAGGTGATAACTAAAGAATATTAAAGCAGCTTTTGTGTTCCACAGTGTGTACTTGTTTGTAATAGGAAAAGAATCCAGCAAAACAGTAGTTTATAACATCTGAAAAGAGAATAAATTATACAATTGTACTTATTTTAAAAGAACTTTGAAAAACTCAATCAGATCTTTTTATCATTTGTCTAACTACTTGATAATAACCAAGAAAAAGTCCCTAAATAAAAGACCCGTGTTCCAAAATTTATCAAGATTGATTTATTTCTATTAGATATCCTTAATCTGGTAAAATTGGCTTAATGAAGATGATTACATTATAATAAAGGTGATGCTGTAGTCTTTAATTTTGTTGAGGTTTTTTGTTTTGTTAATAAAATAGAAGCTCAATTATACAAAATTAAGCTAAATGTTGCCCAGTGAGAACCATCAGCCTGTTTATTCCATTAGTGCTCACGCAGGAACTAACCATAGCTATGTGCTGTGCGATAGATCGGCCGCGAGTGGCTGGCGAGTGAAGGACGAGTTGGGTTGAAGAAAAGATACATTTTATTAATATTTATTAGCCACTTTGTTCATGTCCCCTTTTCAGTAGCAGTTAGGTGTATTCTGAGCAGTTAGGTGTTAACTGAGTAATGATGTGAGAGAGGTTTGAGTGTCTCTTGTTCCTGTTGTTTTAATGATGATATCATGACAAAAACTTGAAAATTTTTATCACAATATAAGAATTTCTTGAAACAAAAATCTAAATTTTTAAAAATTCTCTTAACTCTCTGCATTTAATCTTCACCTGTCCAGATCTCAGATTCTGGGAGTGTCACAATTATCCCCAGATGGAACATGTGAGATTTATCTGAAAAAGCATCCACAACCCACAGCTAGTAGAAACCTAGCTAGTTTACAGCCATGTGGAGAAGAACAATCTTTGATTCGAAAGGGAGAGGAAAGTGCTTGGCATCTTGCTTTTTTGTTAAGGGCAGAATAACAACATGAAGACAAAATGTTTTTTGTTGTCTCTTCATTAAACTATAGAAGACTATTTTGACTTTGTAGCCTTACATTATGAAGGGACTCTGCCTAGAAGCGGCCGTCACACTGACGTCACACTGACGTGGCGTTGCACGTAACAGGAAAGCCCCCAGCACCCTGAAGGATGTACTGAGCAAAATAAAATGGGGTGTCAGAATTTTTGAAAATTATTTTATCATGTTTTTTAATTTTCCCTCTTTATAAGTTAAAAGGATTTTCCATTTAATAAAGATAATCTTTTTTCCTATAATCCCATCAGAATGGCAGTTTACTTTGATAATTTTCCAACCCAGTTTCATTACATTCAGAAAGAGGTTTCAGAGCATATTCTTTATGACTAAAATGATTTGAATATTTTATATCATGAAGTTTTTTATATGAGGAAGGCTATTCTCAATGTATCTGTCATCCAATTTTTTACTTTCTATAA